CCCCTTGCATTCTTCTTCTTCTTTTTTTTTTTCTTCATAAGAAGGGTGTTCCTTTCCTCAAAGAGAGAGGGAGAGGGAGAAAGACTGTAAACTGTCCAAAAGGACCGTGAGAAAACAGGAAGCTTTGAAAAGTACAAGAGAAAGCAAGATGAAATCTATTTGCAGGCGGTTCCCTGGGGACATGTGAGCCATTGTTAAGCAGGCTGTTCATACAGCTATATCCTTCCTTCTGCTGAGGAGGAGCTTGGTGCCAAAAGGCTGCTATCTGGTCATTGCCTTAACCCTCTGAATACCAGCCAGAAATACTTGCTCGAGTCTTTCAACGCCTTTGCCAGAGAGGCAAGGGATGATCCTAATGCCAAAGAGCAATTCCTGATTCTCCCTTCTCTTATTGTTACAATCTCCATTCTGCTCAGGGGCACTGATGTTGATTCATACCCCCTCAGCCAAAGGAGAAACTGGTTCACTGTGCTTATTTGTTTCTTTCCACCTAGGAACATTGGGTGGGGACAGAGAAGTAAAAAACTAAGAAAAACAGGTGTTCCTGCAGAGCTTTTGTAACTGGCTGGGAAACATACTGGTGGTACTCCAGTTCCTGGTTCAAACTATTGCCATCTTTAAGTTTTAATAGTCTGTCATTATCAAACCCTAACCTGAACACAAACTTCCAGCTAATCTGCACATACCTAAAAAAAAGTGTGGGTCCAGATACTGCATGCAGTACAGCTGATCAAAAAATGGAGTTTCTTTTCTGAAAATTGAGGGCTCAGAGGAAGACTTTGACCAAATGGGAACAAAAAGACAGGTTTGCAGGTGTTCTCAAAGAATGAAAGTCTCCAGCAGATTTGACATGGAACTACCCAAGCATTTCAGTAACAGAAATTATTTTATCAATATAGAATAACATAAGTCCTAATATACAAAATAACATTTTAATAGGATAGAAGTGAAAACGAAACAAAATGCTAAAGTTGAAAGACTTCGCCATTATTTTTTCAAAGTGAAATGCTTGAAATCTATCAAAGCAAAATGAGGAAGTAAAAAATATTCATTTTGACATTTTCCTATTAAATTATTACTGAATGCCATATTTTCCTAAGACACTTTAAAGCTCTAAATTTTTCAAGAGAAAATAATTCCATTTAAAATTTTTCATTCAGCTCTGCTTCTCGATGAAATATTCCTTTTAAGAAAATATTTAATTCCATAAGGATGCTGGATGAAAGAGTTCTAGAAATTGCTTCCAGATCAATCTTCAGTTACTTAGGCATAAATTGGGTAATATGCTCCACTCTGTATTTATGGCCCTCTTAGAGCAGATCAAAGTGGGAATAAAACCTACAACCTTTGACTTCAGAAGATACGACTACAGTAATGAACCAGATAGGCAGCAAAAGGAACAGATGTAGTGTCCAATACTGAGTAAGAATGTAAACATGAATAATTCATGAGGAAGATATTAGAGATGAGCATGGTCAAGAAAGCCAACGCTTCAAAGGTTTATGGGGAAGGAGGAGAAGAGAGGATGGAAAGGGAATGTCAGCCTCCAATGTGCTGGAGGGAGGGAGCAAACTGGAATTTGCACAGGATCCTAAAAAGGCCAGATAGTCTCAGAGGTTGTTTTGTTAGGATACTGATGTCCTGCCCTGAATTTCAGTCCAGTAATTACACTTGGCCCATTCAAATCCCTTCTGCAGTTGTATTTTGCTGTGGCTTTCTTTGAGTCGTTCCCTGAACTGTTGCATAACATCACTGTGAGAAGTCGTGGCTGCTGCTTTTCCATGGTCCTCTGCAGGGTGCATGACTTGATCTATATTTTTAGTCAGTGTTTCAAGCTCTTAAGCACTTAGACTTCTGTTTGGGTGGCTGTACTAAGCAAATGTCAGGTACGTTTATCGTGCTCAAACTGCTGTGGCGTTTAAATGCTCATGAAGCAGGAAAAAATATTTGAGGATGAAAGTTACTGATATTTAAGGGGGAGGGGGCAGACCACAGATATTTACCTTCATTATTTTGTGCTACATAAGCAGAATCTGGATAAAGAAAGAAAAAAAGGCTGGTTTATGCTAATTTAAATGCAACTGCAGTATGTGTTACCAAGTCTTGTCCTTCTAATTCTACCATATTGCAAGATGATAGTATCACAGAAATATCCAGTGGGTTAATGTGTCTGCCACCAAATGCGCTTACCTTGCATTTAAAGGGTTTGACATCAGAGTGAACAATCATGTGGGCCTTGAGAGTCTGCTTTTGCACAAAGCTCTTGAAGCACAAATGGCACTGATAGGCTCTGATATTGGTGTGGATCAGGACATGTCGTTTCATGTTGGCCAGCAAAGTAAATTCCCGGCCACAAATTCCACATTTGTGCTCTTTCACACCCTGTAAGAAAAGAAAAAAATCAGAAAATTCTGTACATGGAAAATTTTCTAGACCATTTCATCTTCAGTACAGCAATGTATGAATTATTCATTCTGCATTAGCAAAACAGGTAATAAATTATTTCACTTTTAACATCATTTGCTTAAGCAATAGATATTATGTATCTTTTTCCTGGCAAATTCTTAAAAGAATCTGAGAAGCGGAGAAGGAAAACAAAATGTAAGCTTAATGAAATAATGAGTTTTGTTTCCATCAGTAAGTTTACAAATCAATGAGACACTGTCAGTAGCAGAGCTTCTCTGTCTTACTCCCCTGGTTATGTAAAGTATTGGTCAAATGAGTACACTTATTGACCAAGAATAAAAGCTAATCAGTTAAGACACTAAAGTAGTGCTTGCCTTTGATAATTGAATGTCATTGGCTTCTAAAAAGGGCATAGCCCTATTTTGAAGAAAGCTATAGAAAATAATCTGAAGTAACTGAGAAGTAGTCAAGCAATGTCACCAAATAAAGCTATACATGTTACATTCAATGAAGAGAAAAAAGTGTTCACTCTTAGTGGGACTTGCACTAACCCTAATGGAGTGATCTCATTTTATCTAGTGTTTACAGAGCATTTCTAGCACCTTTTATGCCATCCAGTCAATTTACTAATGCATAATTCAATATTCTTGATCACACCCATGTAGTCTAACTGCCACCTCCTCAAAAAGTCATTTAGATGCTATGAAAATCAATGAATTTACCAGTAAACACATTAAAAATTTGAGTATAACTTGCTGAAGGTAATGAGGATTTACTAGCAAAGCAATTATTCCTCCTGCCGGCCCCCATTACAAAGAAGACTTGAAACAATCTCTACTTTTGTACCAGTCAGTGGTTTTCACAGTTAATTGCAAAGCTAAAACTGTGAACACCACCAGCAGCTTTAAGTGTCTGCCTATCTGATGTGAGGTTGCATTTGGGCAGCTAAGTACTGGTAATTAGGTTCACAGCTGAATCCACCTGCAGCTGTGGACAAAGAAGCAGAAGCTCTCTAAAGGCTCAGAGGCATTGCATTTCCTGTGACAAAAACCTATGAAGTTTTAAATTAGTAGAATTCTGCATGATAAATCCAAAGACCAGGGAATCTCCAAAACCAGCAGAAATTATAATAATGTAATAGGGAATAAAAAGCAAATGTGGAAGTAGAGGTTGTTGGTTTTTAGAAGAAAATGTGTCTGTAAGACTGAAGTGCTGCAACTTTCTGTATTTTTAATGTTTTTCATGTAAAAGCCAAAATTCAAGTGTTAAAGGAAAAACATGCAAAGCTGGAAGCAAATTTTTATAAAGTGTGTGGGGTTTTGACTTATCTTACCACTTTTATAAAGGTGGATAAGCCAATTTCAGACATTCTTGAATGGAGCAGTTACATTTTTCCTATTTTTGAAAGTGATCTTTCTGGATGTGTTCCAAAGCCCGCTCCTACCCTAAACTGACTCTGCTGTCACTGCTATCAGCAGTGGCAAGACTGCCACTTGATACAAAATGGGTGGGATTATGGCCCTGCTTGTCCACTTTTATTAACTGGCATTTTGGATAACTTAGGCACAAAGGGGAATTTTTCTCAGGTTGTTTTTTTTCCCTAAATGTCTCATTATAATGATTCTTCAAAATCTGATCAGTAATAATATACTGTCTTTTGCTGCATACAGATAGTCTACTGCAAATCCACCTACTTCCCAATTAAGGGAGCAAAGCAATAGAACTGGTTTTCAGTAGAAAATTCCTGTTAAAATTCTGGGGGGATTATATAGCTCTACAAAATTATGTTATATTACAGAAGGTCATTCTGAGGATAAAACCCAGAAATGGAGAGATGTGAATACAGTTTTGGGAAGTAATATAGGTCATTTAATTGAATACCTGTTTATAACAAAGCAGGTTTTGTGTGTACTTTCTTAAGACTGACAAAGACATCTAGCTTCTACTATTGACAGTGCTGCTGGGGCTTTTGCTCTGCATAAAACTCTCCAGCTGGCTAAGGGCCAGCATAAGGCTCTATAGAGTGATTATCTTCTTTCGAGGAGGTACATATGTGTATCTTTAGCAGTTTGTAATCCCTGTGCTACCTTCCAATGCAAGGTGAGAGCGCAACCTGCGCTGGCTTACCTTGTGAGTTAGGGAGTGTTGTTTGAGATGGTGGGGCTGCACAAACTCCATGCCACATTCAGTGCAGATGTATGGGCGGATGTCTTTGTGCTTCATCATGTGGTTTTGCAGCTGACTAGGGTACTGGAAGGTCTTATCACATTCAGTGCAATTGTACTGTATAGGGCCACGGTGGGTTGTTAAGTGTCTCTTCAGCTGGGCCAGAGTTGGGAAGTCCAGACCACACTCCACACAGATGTTCTCTCGGCCACTCTCGTGCTTAGACTCATGTGCTTTCAGCTCGCTGGGGTAGGCAAATCCTCTGCCACAGATCCTGCAGTTGTAAGGCTTGATGTCACTGTGTTGCATCATGTGTCTCTTAAGGTGACTGGTTTGAGTGAAAGCCTTGTGACACACCTGGCACTTATGTGGCCGAGTGCCCTGGTGTGTCAACATATGCGTGTGCAAGTGGCTCAGCTGCTTGAAAAGCTTGCCACATCGGGTGCAAGCATGTGGCTTAATGCCACTGTGCCCCAAGATATGGGTGACCAAATTGTACTTGGATGTATAGGACTTCTCACACATGGGACATTGCCAGCGTTTCTGTTCACCCCCCACATCAACATAGTAACTGTCATCGATCTGAAGGTTGACATCTACTCTTTCCACTTTCTGTTTATTTTCGCCACTTTCTCTTACTTCAGCCCTCCTGAAGGGTGCCTCTGGAGGTCTTTTCATTTGAAAGGTGTTCCGGAAATGAAAGTTTGGTGGCACAATAAAAGGAAACATTAAGCCAGGGTGGACTTTAGGATAATATGGGTAAGGAGCCTGCATGAATGCTGGGCTGCTGGGCCATGCCATGTTAGGCTTCACTGGTTCTTGCTTAATGGGCTTGGTTCCAAAGTGCTCCAGAGTTCTGTAGAACTGAAAACCAAAGTTGCAGAGGTCAATCATCTGGGAACTGTACTTGGGCGGTGCTGGCTGTTGGAACACCAAGGGGAGACTGGAAGAACCTATGTCATTGTGATCTTCAGGTCTGTCTGGTGGTGATGATGAACCATCGAGAGCGATAGAAGGAGGCATTTTTGTTGGCATGCTCTTGCGTTTCCGAGACCCTCCTTCCAAGGACCCATGGAATGTTTCCATGTCTCCAAGAGGAGGAGGGCCATAGTGGAAATGTGAGAGGTGTGGTCTGAATTCTTCACCAAATGGAGTTGTTCTGTGTGGCTTTGTAACAGGGCTCAGTGGCTGCAGGCAGCGGGAGAAGGGAGAGGCTCGGGTACTGTCCACATTAAAACTCATTTCTTCATTCTTCATCATATTTGATTTTTTCTGTCTTCCCCAAATTCCTTAAAACAAACAAAAAAATGAATATTTTTATTTCTTCCTGTTCTCCTGGGTTTAACATTTTATTGTCTGTTTTATTGTTTTGGAGGTTGTTGTGGTTTTTTGACTAAATGCAACTAAGGATGTCTTAGGCCCATTTCAGACAAAGGCCTTTTAAAGCAGAATTAAATCAGTTAGCAAAGAACAAAGAAGCTTTGGTCTTCCTGTGGTAGAATTGGTGGTTTAAATCAAGTTTGACCCATACAGCATCTTTGCAACATAAACACACTGTACCATGACACACTACTTTGCAGCTGAATCTGTATGGCAACGTTTCTGCTTAATTTCATTCAGCCAGGCTATTTGTGGGCAAAATCCTGTCCTTGGTTGTGCATGCACAGGCTCTAGAAATTGGCGGTGCATCTAAAGGATATGGCAATACAAACAATAATGTTCGCATTTATTATGGTTGTGACATGAAAAGCCAAAGCCAAAAAATGTTAAACTTCTTTGTATCACTAACATGTGCTGCTGTGAGAGAAAACAATGGCCAAGTGATCTAAGGACACTGTGTACCATCAGGTTTTGCGCTGTGTTTCCTGGCTTCTCTCACTTTGTATTGTAATAAGAAGGCGGAGATTAATTTATTTTCTTTGTTTTAATCCCAGAGATATTTACCTGGCAGAATTGGGGAAGGAAAGACCTTTGACGAGTCTCCAAATTACATTCAGTTTTACAGACTTAATCTAGGGTTTGGTTTTTTTTTTCTAAATAGGTGGGCAAAATCTCCACTATAAAACTAAATATAGAATGATTGTTAACAGCCCCCCATGACCCTAAGTACCACATTTACACATCTTTTAAATACCTCCAGGGATGGGGACTCAACCACTTCTCTGGGCAGCCTGTTCCAGTGCTTGACTACACTTTCTGTGAAGAAATTTTTCCTATTATCCAATCTAAACCTCCCCTGGCACAACAATTTTCTCTTGTCCTATCACTTGTTACTTGGGGAAAAGAGACTGACACCCACTACAACCTGCTACAACCTCCTTTCAGGGAGTTGTAGAGAGCGATAAGGTCACCCCTCAGCCTCCTCTTCTCCAGACTAAACAACCCCAGTTCCCTCAGCCGCTCCTCATAAGACCTGTGCTCCAGACCCTTCACCAACTTTCTTGCCCTTCTCTGAACACGCTCCAGCACCTCAATGTCCTTGTATTGAGGGGCCCAAAACTGGACACAGTATTCCAGGTGCAGCCTCACCAGCGCCGAGTACAGGGGAACAATCTTTCCGAGAACAGGGGAACAATCGCCTCCCTGCTGCTGCTGGCCACAGCATTCCTGATACAAGCCAGGATGCCATTGGCCTTCTTGGTCACCTGGGCACACTGCTAACTCATATTCATCCAACTGCTGACCAACATCCCCAGGTCCTTTTCGGCCAGGCAGCTTTCCAGCCACTCTTCCCCAAGCCTGTAGC